AAGCTGGCTTCCAGAGCTACGGCTAGGTCTATTGTCTGCGTGTCTCCACATACTTTCAATGGAGTGAAGACCTAGACCTAGCTCTAGACCACAGATTCGGATGCAGCCTATGATGAGAGTAATGTTACTGTTAATACTGTGAAATTCTAAAATTACACTGATGCCATGTAGGCCTACTGTGATTTGGGGCTTGTGCATTTTTCTACAGCGCCATGGTAACACTTTTACTCTCGAGTGCCTGCTCACGTCGAGCAATTTTGCCCTTGGGCAGCGTTTGCATGTGTCTTTTGTCTGGTAGTGTATTGACCTATCTTCCGCCTTGCATGAACCACGTCATGGACTCATCACCGCTTGATCAGGAGTGTGTTCTTGCTTATTTGCGCGCAAGTTATACTCCTGCTGTTTCTAAACTAAGGAGAATACCATGAAGAATTTCTGAACTCTTACCTAAACGACTCAGATACAGGTAATGGCTTCCACCAATGAACGAGTCCATTATTAAAATTTTCCTCCCGTCTGCAGTTGACAGGTGTGCGAAGATCATTACGACCGCCGAGTAGATTACTAATAGATGTTTCATGATTTTCTCGGAATAGCACCCAATAACGCTAGCTGTCACAGGGAATGAACAAGATCTTATAGGATTAGCTGAACTCTTTAATAGGAGTGGCGGGGATTCGACGGGGACAGCACATTTTGCAAATGGAACCAAAATGATAGGAAAGATTTCTGTCAAAATAAAGGTCCCAGGCAGCAAGATAATAACATTCATATCTGTTGTAATACAAACTCATCTTGCTGGTATATATGCCTACTGTTTCTTTTAATGACTGATTTCTATTCAAGAGAGGCTTTGCGTGGCTGCGATCTTGCAGGGCAGTTTCTTTGTTCCACAGGGAAACTTCCTTATGCACACCCCGTGCAACAAAAGAACTGGCGTGGAGGCAGCAGTAATGCAAACCCTTTATCCGATATTCTGTGATGTTCAATGTTTGGCAGCCACGCAGTCACCAGAATCGACTTTCGTTCTCAATTTCAAGCAAATTTTGTGCCATTATGCGACAGTTGCCCTTGTCTTGCTAAGACCACGCCTTAATTGAATTGGATTTTTTTTTTTTTGAAATCTTACGATTTAATTAATGTAAAACAGAATTCAAAGTAAACTTACCCTGTGCTACTGACCAACTCGATCTTGTGTACTTCGTATTTCTGCAGTACACACACTTCACTGCTTATGAAGCCCAATAACACCAAATTAACACTCTTGCTGGCAAGCATTACCGTGGTACTATGCACGGTGCGCGCGCCGATCATGTCGTAACAACATGTTGACATAATAATCCAACTTCGCTTGTCGTCCAGCGCCCGAACAGGGCGATGGGAAGGTTTGATGGCATTGCACATATTTTAGTGAAGGAAATACGTCACACGCAGTCACAGCTAATGACGCGCAGAGAATTGCGGGTAAATTTCTGCCAAGT